TGGAAGGTTATATTTTATTTTTAAAAGTAATCCCTCATGCCACACTTTGTCAAATGCCTGCTTTACATCCAGAAACACGGCTGAACAGTATTCCTTGGCTTCGAATAATATTAACAAGTCTGTGACACTGTTGTGTTGTCGAATGTTGCTTACGAAAACCAAATTGATGGTCTGGTATATTATTTGATTCTGATAATATATCTTGAAGTAAAAGTTTTTCGAAAATTTGAGGTAATAGGTAGAAGGCTAATAGGCCTATAAGATGAAACCAAATATGGATCCTTTCCAGTCTTTGGAATCATTTTCATTATAGAGGTTTTAAAGGATTTAGGCCAAAATTCCAGTCTTAATATAGCATATATATATATATATATATATATATATATATATATATATATATATATATGTTAGACAAATAATACCTTTTTTAGGCAATTCTTTCAACATCCTCGACGAAATTAAGTCGATTCCTGGAGATTTTTTGTTTTTAAGTTTGGAAATTTCCCTGACAACCCTTCTCAGAGAGAAGAATTTTTTATTATTTCTAACAGGAATCGTTCGAAAAACTATGTCACAATCAGGAATTTGATTATCAGAAGGTAAATTAAGCTGAAACACAGAGGATAAATACTTGGCAAAAACTTCAGTTTTATCCTTATCACTTCGTGACCAAGTTGAGTCGTTGTCAGCATCCCAACGAATTGGCGGGTTTCGCACACATGGTTTGAGTCGGTTTTTTACTGGTTTCCAAATAGAATTATCGAAGCGGTTAAGGCTAGCTACATAGTTGGTGAAATTAATATTGCTCATTTTTTTCAATCTATTCTTCAGCTTATTACTGATATTGTTAAAGTAGATTTTATCTGAGGGTAAATGGCTGTTATGCCATTTTCTTCTTGCTCTCCGTTTTTCAGCGATAAGCCTTTTGATTTCTAGGGGAGTAGATTGTCGATTGGATTGCACAGGTTTAGGCGTAGAGGATGAAGCAGCTTCAGTCAAAATGTTGTTGAAGTTTTCGATAGCTGTATTAACGTCAGTTTGCGTTTTCAATCTCATTTGCAGATTGATTTTGCCCTCTACTTTTTTGCGATACATATCCCAATTTGTTTTCGCAGTGTGAAGGCATGGTGCTCGAGAAATATTAATTATAGATGAGCAGATACTGGCAATTACAGGAGTGTGGTCGGATGAAAGGTCAAAATCAGTTTCAATTTCAGTGTAATTTGTATTGATGCCATGAAAAATAAAGAAATCCAGTAGATCTGGTTTCTTTTTGGGATCTGAGGGCCAGTAAGTTGGAGTACCCGTCGACAGCGTTGCATAGTTATATTGGGAAATTACACTGTATAATTGTCTGCCCTTGGGATTAGTCAATCTTGAGCCCCATAGAGGGTGCTTGCTATTGAAATCACCTCCCACTATAAACCTGGGTCCTAAAGATGAGAAGAAATCATAGAATTGAGAGCTGGTAATCGCATGACGTGGAGGGCAATATACCGCAGATAGTATGATGTTGTTTATATTTAGGAACCTCATAGTGAGATAAGTTGTATTTAATAAGTATAGCTAAACCCCCATGAGCAGAGCCATCTGGATGCGGAGTGTGATAAATGTTGTAGTAGGGAATGTACATATTGGAGTAATTAGTAAAGTGGGTTTCACTTACTAACAACACGTCAATTTTGTTTTCTTCCAGAAAAATAATTAGTTCGTTCCTATGCAAGGCCATTTGCATTCCAAGCACATATTCTAATAAATCTAGCCATTGATACTAGTTAACTTCCCGTAGGGCAAGTTATAGTAATCGCAAAAAAATCGAAAATGAAAATTTTTATGTATCTTTACGTTTCAAAGGTTTCTGATCATTTTGGCATACCTTAAAAAAAATGGATGTATGTGTGTGTGTGTGTGTGTGTGTATGTGTGTGTGTGTGTGTATGTATGTATGTATGTGTGTGTATGTATGTGCGGATACAAATTTTCGTCGACGATTTCGGGAACACGGGTCAACCGATTTGAATAATTCAAAAAACATTCGATTCGTATTGATAAGGAGACGTGCTGATTAGTTTTTGGCGAAGGCAGGTCTAGCCGTTCCAAAGACCTGTCTGCGTAGCTTTGCAAAGCGGTAGGCTTGTTTTGATTAACAGAAAATTTAATGTTAATTCTATTTTTAGAATTAACTATCTGTTGATAAATGACGCAACCTTTGTAATTAGATGGATGAGATTGAAAACAGTTTGCACAGACCGCTGGAGATTCGCGCGACTTGGAACAAATTGAAGTGGGATGATCATCACCGCATTTTACACAAATAAACGGTCTATTACAATAGGATTTTGTATGGCCGAATGATTGGCAGCGACTGCATTGGGCAATTCCTAAATTATTAATCGGTGGATGAAAATGAATTATTTGATTCAATATCTTGTGTATTTTGAAAATTTCAGTATTATTTTTGTCAGGTTCCAAGTCAATGTAAAACATATCAAGTGGGTTTTTATTTCTGTGATGCAACACATTAGTGATAATTCTAACTCTATGACCCTTGGATTCAATTTCCTGCTTTAATTCGTTGATATCGGTTTTATAGTGGATGTACTTTAGTACAACACGATATGCCCTTTCCGATTTGATTTGGTATGTATGAAATACGATATCTCGAGTTCGAAGAAGTTTGACAAAATTACGGTAATCTTCAACAGATTGAACGTTAAATCTAGTAACTTTATCTGGCAAAGTTTTAATCGTAAAAGTATTTTTTGTTAACACAGATTTCAGATCGTCTAACATTCCTTTAAAATCGTCAACTCCGTAAATAAAAACGGGAGGCGGCAATGCTTTTTTAACTGAAGCAGAGGTTTCAGTAACAGGTACTGGTTCTTTATCAGTAAGGACACTAAATCGATTACCTAATGCTATCGAATTATCAGTTTGAATATTCAAACGTCTTCTTTTAACGCCGGCAATCGGGACAATTTGCCATTTGTTTTTATTAGAATTGTTAGTATCCGTTTCAAATTCCATAACGCTAGTTGACGGTATTGGAACATTAGTTGTTATGTTTGTTGACGGTAAGGAAGCATTAGTTATTATGTCTGTTGATGAACAGGTTGAATTTGCAGACTGATTACGTAGATGTTCTGTAATAAATTCTGAACTGGTATGTGAATCGTCGGCAATTACATTTGCCGACTCCACAATTAAGTTATTCATTGCGAACCCCAAAGGGGTCCACAATTAAATTGTTATACAATATGACACTCTTTGTATTAAACACTATTTAGTATTTGTTCAATAAATATTACAATCACTTTATTATAAAAGTCCGTATGAACAATGTGTTTACATTAATTTTAATACACTGAAATGTACCCTTGCGGGTACATTCGATTGTTTTGATTTATAACACTTCGGTATTATGATTCAACTGATAACAATACCTTTTACAATAACGCACGAATTATACCTGAACCTGATAAGGTACGAAGTGCACTGCACGGTAGCTCGAAGCGAACTGATCATTAAAATTATAAAAATATTTACGTGATTCAGTACATGAAAAATTAGATATAATGTAAAAGCGTATGAAATATATTGATTTTAAATTCATATAAAAAATCCAGGCAATTTGCGGGTTGATCATAATCAAATATTTTTAAATTTTCAAGTATTTCTAACGTATGTACAATATTATTATTCGAGTTTTGAAACATTATACTTATTTACTATGCGATTTTCTATTGAGAAAATCATGCCAAGAGAGCAAAAAAAAACTAGCGTTTCATTTTTAAACATAACACTGGTATTTCATGTTGGATTTTTTAAATTTCATTTTAATTTATTTTTTTATTATTTACGATATCTAAAAGTGCATCGTAAACTTCTTCTTATTCATATCGTAAGGGCCGAATTGAATTAGTCTTTACTTTCCCATTCGATTGTTGTTCTGAAGGTAAATTTTATTGTCCAAAGATTAGTAAAAAAAGCAAAGAAATTACATATTTCTCAAACTATATTGAAACAAAAAAACGAGTTATATTAGTACCTGTATTATTTCTGCATAATTAATAATCAATGTTAGAGTATGAGCCCCATTACGTATGAAACGAGCTCATCGGTTTTTGTTCCAAAGTGAATTTTGATTCTATTTTTCATATTTGCTCCACTTCCATAAATCCATAAGCGCGCCTGCTTTCAAAATTCAAAGTTCATCAGATGCGTAACATTTGCAACAAAAACTACAATTCAATTTCTCGAAATAAATAAGCCATTTTCTAAGCACTGTCCTATTTTCCACTTTTGTCTGTTATAATTTGTATCCACTTTTTTAGCAAATTTCGTTTCAACAATCGTCGACAATCCCCAATAATTAATTTAATCTTTTGCAGGTTTGAGCTTATGGGATTGTATAGTAGATGATTTCTTTTTCGATTCCACGTTAACTTCAAATAAAAAAAATTAATTAGAGATTAAGCAATAAGCAGAACAATAATTTATTAATTTGCGGAGTTATTAATCAGTTAATTGTTTCTACTGATATCACATCGCAAACTAAATATGCTTTTTGTATCTTCGTAACCATCGTTAGGTTAGATTATTTATTATAATCTATGAAGTGTTCTTGATTTTATATTTAAAAAAATATATAATAAATTTTATTTTCGAATCGCGTTTTGGCGCCCCCTAAGGCGTGCGCCCGCATTTTTTGCATGCATAGCATTCAAGGTAGGATCGGCCATATATATATATATATATATATATATATATATATATATATAAGAAAATATTTTTATTAGGAAAACATACGTTTCGGGTCTTGATTTGACCCATCTTCAGTGCACACAAATGAATTGAAAAAAAAAAACACAAAAACACACAAAAAATGCACGAAATAAAATTATGAAACACAAATTGATAAACGACAAGTTATGATAAATTTTAAATAATTGTAAAATTAAAATAAAAATAAAAATAAATAATATATTTTATTAAAAAAGCTTATTCCAAACGAAGCATGTTGTTCGCTTGGAGTTTGTGCAACAAGTCTATTTTTTAATAAAATATATTATTTATTTTTATTTTTATTTTAATTTTACAATTATTTAAAATTTATCATAACTCGACGTTTATCAATTTGTGTTTTATAATTTTTTTCGTGCAATATTCGTGTGTTTTTGTGTTTTTTTTTTTAAATTTATTTGTATGCACTGAAGATGGGTCAAATCAAGACCCGAAACGTATGTTTTTCTTAATAAAAACTTAATCTTTCATTAAAACTGTTTTTGATAACTGGATGGATGCCCAAGAACAATTTTATCATATATATATATATATATATATATATATACATATATGATAAAAATGTTCTTGGGCATCCATCCAGTAATATATATTATATATATATTATATATTATATTATATATATATATATATATATATATATAAACACTAATTTTCAAGAAATAAACAATTTATATTTAAAAATAATTAATATTAACTAAATATGAATAAGTTTATAGTATATAAATTAAATAATTAATAAATAAATAATAAAATAATTAATTAAATAATATAAAATTTGTAAAATGAGCCTTAATATAATATCATTATACTGACGGCTTGTAAAATAAATAAAATAAATAATATAAATGACTAAATAGTAATGAACTTTTTTTATAAAACTTTTTATGTTGATAGATATCATGGTCCTAAAGAACATACTAAAATATTATGCCCGTAAATACTCATCAAATTGAAAAAATAGAAATGATAGTCAAAATTTGTGTTTTCAAAAATGTTTCTACGTTGTTCACGAAATTCAACATGGCGATGAAGTTCATGTATTAATTGCTTGATTGAATTATATAAATTAATTAATATTTGGAATAATAAGCAGGTATTTAGAACATACATGCACGTGGCTGTGCAATATAATTAATATCATTACAGATAGTTTAAATGGGTTTGAGAGATATCAATTGAAAATTGTAATGTTTAATTGTAATTTAATTGAAAGTGCAAACATTAATTTCGAAATAAACAGTTGAAAATTTTATCCAAATCTCAATTTCGGTTTATTAATACACATTTTCGGAGCTTCATGCAAAATATTTATTAACACTAGTGGTGTATGGTATCGTACCTATACCTTAAGGCGAATTGCTGGAACTTTCCGTACCGTAATAAAGTATTCGAAGAATATTAAATGTTTTCAAATAGATTATTATAAATACTGCAACTGGAAATATATGTTTACAGAAAAGTAAATGAACAAAACCTAATCAACCGAATTTAAAATGTAGGACATTGTCTAATATTTATAAAAAATATATGTACTGAATTGCAAAGTTAAAAGTGTTTATTTGAAGTAAATAAGTGAGCGTTAAAACTATAGCGTGTATTAAAATAAATCCAAATTATTTTCGATATTCAAAAAAAAACTTTTTTTTAAACTAATCATCACTTTTTTCCATCATTACGAATTGAATGTTTTTCAGATCATTCAAATCGGATGCTTCGTTCTCTCAAAAACTCGATTTCTATTTCCTGCACACTTTGCTCTATATCTCCGTAACGGCTGGACCTGTCTTTGCAAAACTAATCAACGCATCTTCCTATTAATAGGAATCGAATGTTTTTTGAACCATTCAAATCGGTTGATCTCTGAGTCCGAATACGTGGACAAAAAAATGCGGTACACACAAACGCACAAACGCTCACACGCACACATCCATTAATTCTGAGGTATGCCAAAATGTTCAGAAACTTTCAGTTTCACCTTACAGAAAACTTAACTAGTGAGGTATATGGCATCGTGCCTTAAGGCAAATTGCTGAAACTTCCCGTACTGTAACAAAATGTTCTAAGAATATTGAATGTTTTCGAATAGATCAGTGAGCCAGGGGTCCATGGCAACTTTCAAGGGGTCCACGGCGGCAAAAACAAAATTTGGGGGTCCACGAAATGAAAATGGGGGTCCACAGCAGTGGATTACAACACACCATGATAAAATCTATTTATATACGTTTAATATAATATATAGATAATATAATATATAGATTTTCAATGAATCCTTTAATATAGTTGGCAATATTTAGAACTTATTCAAAAAGTAAAGAAAAACATTACATATTTATATAAAGTGTGTAAGTTGTAGCATGTAGGCATTCGAGTTGTGGTTAAACTATACGCTGGCTGTTGAAAAGCTTAATTTTGGTAAGATTTTTGCCCTTAGAATTTATAAATATCAAATATAGAGGTTTAAATTGCAATTTAACGAAGTGTGATATAGATACCACTTATTTGGATTCGATAAACAAAATTTTATTTGAAATTTAGTCCCTTCAGCAACGAATTTGGACTCAAGTGTTTTGAACTAAACTTTTAAATATTTAAATTACACAGGTAATTTTGTGCTTTGGTGAACAGTAAATTACAGATGTAGTTTATTTCTGGATTGGTTATTGAAGAAAGTTGCTTTTATGAAATGTTTACTGACAAATGTTATAGATTTGGTAGTGCTTAATGATGTTTCTGATTATTATAGCAGTTCTACCGCCAGTTGTTCCACGTGGATTAATGTTGTAACTGGTTGCATGGCATGGTGCCTTAAGGCAAATTGCTGAAACTTCCCGTACCGTGAATTAAATTTTTTAAAAAATATTTAATTTTTTTTGAAAACATTAAAAAAGATATTTCTGAGAATTTTAAAATTTTTGAAAAAATTTGACTTTTTTGAAAAATTTGATTTATTTTTTATATTTCGAAATTTTTTTATATGTACTTTTAATTTTTCTAAAAATTTTGAACTTTTTTTGAAAGCAATGTTGAAACAAGCAGAAAGTCTTTGAATCATTTAAATCAGACGCTTAGTTCTCTCAAAAACTGCTATTTTTTTAACATTTAGCTATGTATCTCCAAAACCGCTGGGCCTACCTTTGCCTACCTATGATTAATGTTGTAACTGGTTGCATGGCATCGTGCCTTAAGGCAAATTGCTGGAACTTCCCGTACCGTGAATTAAATTTTTTAAAAAATATTTAAATTTTTTTGAAAACATTAAAAAAGAGATTTCTGAGAATTTTAAAATTTCTGAAAAAAATTGACTTTTTTGAAAAATTTGATTTATTTTTTATATTTTGAAATTTTTTATATGTATAAAAATATAGTAGCGCGTAAGCACCGCATCCCAGTCTAACAGATCAGCATTGATACGGAACCCACAGAAATGCCAACAAAATTCATACTTATTATTAAAACCTCTATAAAATAACTGATAATTTGATATGCATTTGTCTAATGATCATTTTTGATCGTAAAATGACATTTTTTTTACTTTTTCCACTCGATCTCTGAAACCACTAGACCTGCCTTCGCAAAAATTATTATACTATATATAAAAATGTTCATTTTCGATTTTTCTGCAATTAGTTCAATTTACCCTACGAGGAATTAAAAATCAATTTTGCTTAATTTAAAAAAGTCTAAGTTAGTGAAGTGTATTTTCGAAAATAACATATGATCAATTTGATAATGTATTAATTATTATAAAGCCGCTATTTATTACTTAAGTTTTGAAACTAATCTCATTAATATATTTATCTCAGCTAAGTCCATTTTAAATTCATTTTGTTGCTCGATATATTAAGTTGAGCATAGGACGATCAGTTAATAGTATCACAAATAACAAATATATGTTACGCAGTTAAAAGATACCATTTAAAAATACAATAAAAAACAGTTTGTTCAAAATTATTTTTTTCAAATTACAATTGCGGACTTTTAGTAAGATTTTTAACTCGATTATATGTTACAATCATCTTTTACCATGCTTTTATATTATATCTTATATTTTTTAATCTATATGTTTTTTTCGCATTTGAGACTTCTATTTCGAACCATTTCTTTTTTTTTAATTTCATGAAATCAAATTTGCCTTTGGAATTTTGTATTCAGCAATTTTCTCATACATAGCGTTTTACAAGAGAGAAAAAATACATCGATTCACATAATTAATTTGATAAGTAGTTGTAATTTAATTTTAATTAAGAAAAAAGAAATTTTAATTAAGAAAATTTTAAATAAGATTTAAACCTATACTTTTCAATAATCCGGGACAAATAATGATTTTGAAAAAACCCGGATCAAAAGATGAAAACCCGGATCAAAAGATGGAAACCCGGAACTGTCCCGGATAAACCATAATATAGGGGGTCCATGACAAAACGAAAAATATCGCAAGGGGTCCACGGCACAAACAAGTTTGGGAACCTATGGAATAGATTATTATGAATATTGTAACATTGTCTAATATTTATAAGATTTATATAAACTGAATTGCAAAGTTGAAATTATTTGTTTAAAGTATATTAGAACTTTAGTCAAAATTAAAAATAAAATCTGATTTATTTTCGATCTACAAAAACTTTTTTTTTTTCGAAAAAAAAAGTTGAAACAAAAATTTTTTTTTTCAAAATCAATTACTTTTGTTAAGACAAGCAGAAAGTTTTTTGAATCATTTAAATCGGACGCCTAGTTCTCTCAAAAACTGCCATTTTTTACATATTTAACTCCGTATCTTCAAAATGGCTGGGCCTGCCTTTGCTAAAAACTAATAAACACTTCTCCCAATATTTACTAATTGAATGCTTCTTAGATCATTCAAATCAGATACTCCGTTCTCTCAAAAACTCGATTTCTATTTTCTGCACTCTTTGCTCCGTATCTCCAAAACGGCTGGACCTGCCTTTGCCAAAAACTAATCCGCTTTCCTTACTATCGATAGGAATCGAATGTTTTTTTGAACCATTCAAATCGGTTGATCCGTGCGCCCGAAAACGTGACTGGAAATTTTTTATCCATACATACATACACAGACACACACACATCCATTTTTTCTGAGGTATGCCAAAATGTTCAGAAATTTTCAAAACGTCGAGAAATGTAAAAATTTTCAATTTCGATTTTCGGCCCATTACAATAACTTACCCTACGGGAAGTTAATAAATAAATAAATATTCAATTATTAGTTCTCCAACTCATCAAA